TGAATTATACAAACGGTCCCAGTTTTCAGTGTTCTGGGAAATTTTTTGGTGCAGTCTTTTCATTGTAATCCACTATTCATGCGCGAGCACAACTATGACGGCTGGAAACACTGTATGACTTGTACACGATTTTTGGTTGACGATAGTGGCGATTATCTTGAACGCTACGAATACGAGGCTGTCACGAAGGTAAAGGCATGGGTTTCATGAATCTCCTTCGAAGAGTAGAATCACTATCGACTCAGACCACTAAATCCGTCTGAACCCCGTTCAGCTGTAGCACCCTTTCGGTGCCTAGCTGCCATGCCACCCGAAGGTTGCACGAGGGCTGGGATACTGCCAGGTTGCCCAAGCCTAGACAGGGGAAACCGAGAGGCAGAGGTCGGATTCGAACCACGGACCTTCCAGTCAATAGACTACTAAATCATTGGCTCGGGGAAGCTGACAAAACCTGCTTTGGGGTCAAAGGCTCAGGGTGGAGCAGCTCAATCAAATCCCCTTCTTGCCTGGGCAACCTAGATGTACCATTCATTCTTAGACACCTCTGTTCACGGACTACTTCGCACACATCCCTCGCCCAAACACTTCTGATTAACTTGGCTGTCAATAACCCAACCGTCGCTCCGTTGCCCAGTGAAAATAAATGGAACTAAACCCTTATTACATTCAGGTTATCTGTTCTACATTACAGCACTCAACGCCAGTACTATGTCAGACTTTGTTCTCTCAGATCGATACATGTTGTGTCCTTGAAGCACACATACATGACCGCAGCTCGGCCATTCACCTCAAACTCCAGATTTACCGTACTTTACTCTTTGGCTGTCTGGTAATCTTGATGCAATCGCTAGTGGCGTCTAAGGCGTGAGAATCATGCTTAGCCTCAGGGGTGAATGCGTCTTACTGGACTGCATTCCAGCAAACAGTCGTCGATGCGCTGTTAGGTTGACTGGTTCAATCATGATCATGCATCCAGACGTGGTAAACGGTGTTTGTTGCGTCAGCATATGCTCCGACGCTGTAGCTCTGAGGATGAGAAAGGTAGCTTCTGTCGAGATTTGTCATGGTTACTCGTCAGCGGGAAGTACAGATGCCGTGATTCTGGTAGGCGATGAGTACTCAGGCTGGCCGTCTAAGAACTGGTAAAGCCCAAATTGGCTGCCGATGCAGGGTTGATACTTAACACACAGATAATGGAGGGCAGCTTCTCCAATTATGCTCTGAACATCATTTGTTTCTAGACAGCACAAACTTTCAGCGCAAGCACTCATACCGACTGACTTGGGGGTCACCGGCCATGGAGTCATTTGGACGTGGCAGCTGGTCACCGGTGGAGCGCTTCGATACAAGTTTGTTGTCCAATTTAGACCACATTTCTGGATTCCGATCAGAGCATGGTGGGGGAATGCGCTTTTATTTTTTTCACTCCGGAATGCGCAGGTGGAAGCCAAGGTATTCAGTTCACGACCTGAAGAGCGCCTCTGTACATCAGCAGTATTCAGTTGTGTTGGCTTAGAAGCTCCAAGAATAGGTAATTTGGAAGACGGCTGGAGAGAGGTGAAAAAGGCCATGACCACAGCCTCTGAATCCGTCTGCCAGAGATGCCTTGCACACACACCGGATCTCGTCAGGATCCGCAGCTTTGAGTGAAGCTGAAAACTCTACTACGCTGGCGAACGTATTACCCTCAAAGGCCAGATATTGGAAAGCCCAAAGATCGGTAGAGCTATGGTGGATAGCCAGGGCCACGAAAATAGAGGAGGCTTATGTGAAGGCGAACAACCGTAGCCCGTTCGAGACAACCCGATCCGATGTGGCCGGATGTCGATGAAATGATCTCCGAAATGGATGAGACCTTGATTCATTTAGAGGATCGTTGTATTGAACGATGGGTTGAATACTTCGAAGAACGATTTAGCTACGTCCCATCAAATCACCTCCAGGAAGGACTAACCGGACCCGAGTGAGACACCAACATCATTCCCTCATCGTTAACGGAAGTCTAGAGTGCGATCTCATTAACTCAACACAACAAAGCTCCTTATCCAGACGGTTCGCATTCTGCACTCTTCAAAGAAGGTCCTTCGTGGCTAAACTGAAGATTTGACCATGTTTGGAATGAGCGAAACTCCACAAAATTGGGTGCCCCAAAGAGAATGCAGGAATATGGCGCGGAAACCACCGGGGCATATGTCTTGTGGTCATGCTTCCGGTGTTCTCTAGCATCATCCTACGTAAATTCATCTGTTATCGATGGCCAGGTTCGCGGAAATCAAGTTTGACCGATAACGGTCGTGATTCTCGGTCTCAAGATCTGAGTTGCAGAAATTGTCTGGCGATAAAGGGTATCGCTTTCAAATGATCGTGGATGTGCATGTCTACAGTAGGTTCTCTCTTGAGCTAACCACATCCCGTTGTCGGCCAAGGATTTCCTCTTTCACCCTCTCTCCAACTTCGTAACCGATATGCTACTCGAATCTTTTCTACCTATCTCCAACACCTCGGAAATCGAAATACTATGGGGGGCGTTCGCTCACGGACACTGAGACTAGTCTTGGATCATACCATCTAGAAATGCAAACTATTACGATTAACTTAAATGATTATGCTGCAAAGTTCCGTACACACTCAACCTCTTTAAATTACCACTGCCAGATCGGGTGGGGTCAAATCCGAGCACCATACTTGCAGACGAACCAATCGATGTGGTAGATAAGTTCGTTTATCTGAGCAGCTACATAAATCCTGACGATCAGGCGAAAGACGAAATCGTTCCCGGGATTGCGAAAGCCATCACACACCGACATTCTGATCAAACTGTGGTTCTATGATAGAGGACCATGTCAGAGCCGTACCAGATGCAGATGATTCGGGCGGTCAGTCCTAGACCTGGAAACAAACCGTGGAAGACCAAACCAGTCAACTCTATCACGTTAGTAAATGCCATCTTTCCGGATGGGGACCACAGGACAAGACGAACCAAGGGTTAGTGATGCTGACATATATAATCGTGTCAAGCAACAAATGACGGTCTTGCATCAAGACTATCGCCCTCACTGCGTAGCTCTTCATCCTCGCCACGCCGGATAAACAGAACCATTTGACGTTAATGAAGTGGGCCGCTGCTTCCTAGTGGTACTCACTCCCTGATTCTCTTTGTTCTTGGTGAAGGAAGCATTAGCAGTTGGAACCGCGTTTATGAGTGACGAGTATGAAAGTAAATAAGTTATTTGCCTCCTGCAAACAAGTCTCTGAAATGTGTTCTCGCGCTCATTGCATTTGGCGAAGCTGTTTCCAACACCGGTGCGAGAATTGCCTAAGGGATCGAGTAATTCAAACTCAGTCGTGTCCATCAGAATAAACCTCTCCCCACCACTGAGCTTCCGATATTGCCGAACTACGCCGAACGGGTAATCCAGCCAAAGGCTGAAGAGCCCAACTTGGAGGTTGCATTTTCGCAGGTATACACCGCTCTTCATGCACTCCCCACGACCTATTCTGTTCGGTCTGGCACAGCAAG